TTTGTATAAATATTCTTCGATGTATTAGAAAGGACATAAAATACTTATTATTGGAAAAAAAAAATTTTCATGAAGGGTAAAACGAAATATTTAGGCAGACACAGAATATGCAACAATCAGACATGAAACTATACTTGATTCACGGTGGAAGGCACAATAGGTGTTTCTGGAGAACGTAACTTGGGATTATTCTGAAAATTTGGTGCCTTGGATAATTAGGTGTGCTCTATCGACCTAAAATATTCTCAGCTCTGCGACGTTCTCGCTTATATTGAAAAGGAGCAACAACTTCGATAATTTGAATGGAGCACCCTGTATATTATTCCATTTTTAGAGTCTCGCTGCAGAGCCAATTTCATTGACCTATATCGCTTGGGGTCTAGCAGTGACAATCACAGAGATATAGGGTGTGAAAAACAGAGATTTTTCAGCTTTAAGATTTTTTTGTGTCGAAACTATTCATAATTGGTCAGAACGGTTTCTATGCCCCAATCTGAACTTCTTATTTTTACTATCAATTGATATTTAATTGAAATAGGTACAGGGTTATTCAGAATCAAGATTTTCAACCACCCTGTATATCCAATTAGATATCAATTGATAGTACATGAAAAGGTGAGATAGGGACATGAACACCGTTTTGACTAATTTTGAATAGTTTCAACACAAAAAATTCTTGAAGTTGAAAAATCTCGATTTTTCACACCCTATATCTTTGTTATCATTCCCGCTAGATCCCAAGTGTAATAGATCGATACAATCAGCTCTTTAGGAAGAATCAAGAAAAAATCAAGGATATTGCTACTTTTCAATATAAGCGGCAACGTCGCAGTGTTGAGAATATTTTAGGTCGGTACCTTAAATATTAATTATTAGAATACGTCTTTTGGGACTGGTGACACCTGGTGAGTAGCAGATTATTCAGATTATAAAATCAAAATGGTAAATATCTAACATCAGGTGGGCACTACAAAAACGCAAATTCATTACTGCATGGGATAAACGCTTCAGATTTTTTTGCTATTCAGTGACTTGACTACGAATGACATTGACATTTCAGTCTTCTGCGCAAGCAAAATGCACTATTCAATACTACTTGATTTGGTCCATCTACAGAGAGGGCGCAACAAATAACTTATTATTGCTGCTTTTGTTGTAGTAAACTTTTCCAATAAAGCATATATTTACAGTTTTTGGAACTCTATTGAAGGTAGTGATTTTCAAATACTGAATCCCATTGATTCAGTTCTATTAGAATGTTATGATCTTTGATGTTAGTATTAGTAAGTTAGTAGTTAGCTATATAGTATTAGATAACCCAGATATCTGCGCTGGCCTAAAAGCTCTGAGTCACATATTATGGTATATTATTTGTCAATGGTGCCATTCGATAGTACGAGGAATTGAATTCAATGTATTCATTTATATAACACCCCGTTTAAGCATCCTGCAGATACATTTCGTTTTTTGCAGGTTTATATCCCCGTATGGAAAAAAATTTGGGGTCCCGTGGAACTAAAAGAATGGATACCCTTTCCAGATCTGCACTCAACGTGAATACCCCGAAGGAGCTCAATAAAACGATATTAGGGCAAATAACAGTATACAACTGTACTTTATATGCCTTGCTTTCGACTTTTTCCAGTGACTGAATGTTAATGTGTTTCATAATTATCACTGAGTAGTTATACTAGTTAGTTCCTTAGTTGAAATTATGGAATGAAAGTGAAATGTGATGTACTTATTTATTATTAAATTATTAACTATAATCTTATAAATGTTAATCAAAGACTATACAGACATTTTGAAACATTCATGGATATGAATGTGTTTCAGATTTATGAACACCAATTTCGAAAGACGAAAGAGATTCGCATAATACAGGGTGTTCCTCAACGCTATTTTAATATTTAAGGGGGTATTTCTCGGTGCCATTTAAAAATAAAACTTCACATGAACGTTGGTCGTGAACGTCCAACTTTTGAGAAACATGGTGTCAAAGTTTATGAAAGATAATGATAGTTTTATTGCCTTAATTACTAGGGATTTAGGCAACTGCTTAACAAAAATTGAGAATAGAGCAATAAATTAGTGAGACCCTGAAGGCAAATAAAATAGTGATAACATTCGGCCATTCGGATTTGGATTTACAGTGGCGCTATTAGGGGGATGTTATTGTTTGTATTTCACTAAAAAGTTAGCAACGGAGGAGAATTTCCAGGTTGCAAACAGAAATATAAAAGGTCATTCTATTCATGAAACTCCATTGGACCCATCGTTTTTGAGAAAATACAGATTACCATGGATAACCATAATTTGTAACATTCTGAAATGTTTGCTCTTTGCACTATTCATCAAGTCACATAATTTTTTATGTACTACATTTTAACATGTCTATTGTATCTGACCTGCCAAAAACATAACATTTGTAACTTGGTGAAATAAATATTCTATTCTATTCTATTAGACAAAATTCAATCATCATCAGCCGACTAGAAGGTTTAAGGTTCTAAACTATCTAGAGGAACCGATATTGACTTAGGATAGATATAGATGCAATGATTACTTATACTTACATGGAAACAAAAAGAGTTGAAATTCAAATAATGTAGACAATAACAGTGCAAACCAAGATCAATGCTTATTTTAATTTCATTTTTTTGTCATTTCCAATTAAGTAATCATTCCATCTATATATCCTAAGTCAATATGTATCTAGATCTGTTTATCGGCTGATGATGGCCTTATATAAGCCCGAAATATGTACGTTTACGAGTTAACTTCGATCATTCTTGTTGTGGAGGTGACTTTGAACTACACCACTCCACTTTGAGTTAACCATGGACTTCTACCAAAGATTAAAAATAGCTTTTGGATGTGTCGTGGAAAGAAATTCTAAATTGAAAAAACCTAATCACAAATCTGCGATTGAAGGTCTTTAAAACTAACAAGTTTTCATCGTTCAAGTTTGAACCCCTTGATTGGGTGAAAGTATATACAGGGTTTTTCATGAGAAGACTCACATAGCCCAATTGTTAATAGGGGAAATCGAGACGAGTTGATGCATATATATAAAAAAATTGTTTGCCCCTCCATAACGAAGATACAGGGTATATGTGAAAATGTTATATAACTTTGATGGTCGATATCACAGAAATGATTTGTCGTAATCTGCTGAAATTTGGCAGCGACGTATCTCTACTGAAACTGTTCAAGATAACATATCATGAGAAAGAATATCCAGGTCCGTACTTGGGAAAATTTTATGTTTCATTGTTATGTCAAAAAAGTTCACTTTGTGACCATTTTTCGAAAAATTCCATCAGATTCAGGAAGATCAGACAAAATGCTATAAGAACTGCTCTTCAATTTACATGGCACACTTTGACCGGTTCAATGAAAAGATATGGAACAAAATCGTTCGAATGAATTTTAAATTCCGACATGGCTGATAACTGAGTGATAACTATCAACTTTCAACTGGTATCATGTGAATTGATTTCTTGACTTTGTTTTATGGGTGTCGCTGGAAGTGAGATATCTAGTAGGTCCTGTTTTTCGTTTATGTGACGAGACGTGACGTTTGTTGATAATTCGAACTGATAGGTAGGTATACTAGGCCAGTACTATAGGTAGGTACCAACTGATGAAATTACGACATGAGGATTCATGTGCCCATATTATGTTGATTTATCAAATTAGTTATGCCATCACGCATACACTACTGCAAGTGATATAAGGATGCATTTGCTATTTATTCAGAATTCCTAAAGCTCATCCTCGTGAAGGTTTTACTCGGTTTCTATGGTAATAAACATAGCAGAGCATTTGGATTTTCGTCTTGTTCAGCATTTGGAATATGAAGTAGCACCTAGAGTGTAATAATATTTCGATCACCAGTGTTTACCTATCAACAAACGCCAATTCAGGGCCCACTTTATAACAAATTTATTAAATAGAGTCATGAGTAATCATATCTATCTAGAAGTTTGGTTGAGAACCAACATGTCAAATCATAAAAAATCATGACTAATTTCTTCTGTCAATTTCCATCCAATAAAAATGTACAAAATAAGTCAATTCACACGAATCCAGTTAAAAGTTAAGAGTTATCAGCAAGGTCGAAATTGAAAATTCATTCGAACGTTTTTGTTCCATATTTTTTTTTTCATTCAATCTGTCAAAGTGTGCCGTGTAAATTGAAGAGCAGTTCTTATAGCATTTTGTCTGATTTTTCTGAATCTGATGGAATTTTTCGAGAAAAGTGGTCGAAAAGTGAACTTTTTTGACATAACATTGAAACATATAATTTTCCCAAGTCCGGACCTGGATCTTTTTTTTCATAATATGTTATCTCGGATAGTTCCAGTAGAGATACGTCTCTGCCAAATTTCAGCAAATTACAAGGGATCATTTCTGTAATATCGACCTTCGAATTTATATATATCAATTTCACATAATACCCTGTATCTTCGTTATGGAGGGACAAAAAATGTTTCCATATATATACATCAACTCGTCTTGATTTCCCCTATTAACTATTTGGATATGTGAGTCTTCTCATGAAACACCCTGTATATCCTCTTTTTCATTTTCATAATGTATCTGAGGATATTCCTTTTCTATATTAAAAATAGTATTATTTCAATATACTAATATGGGCAAATCAGATAGTTTGCTCCAAAATGTCACTGCGTTCAAAATTTTCATATTAGAAACCTAATGGAAAAATTCAATCGGTATAGTGGGTGAAAAATGTATTGGAAAAATAAAGATTTCCACTCATTTTTGGATGTTTTCGGAACGAATTAATCAACACCCTGTAAAGGTATCTCAACTCCTTTAAACGTTCAATACTAGGTATGCTTATGCAACAGCTCCTCAAAATCAAACATAATTCAATTAAGTATTTGAAAATAAGGCGAAGGTGCCAAGATGCGTTGATCCGTTAGAAACTGAAAATATTGAAAATACGTTGTTGTAAGTTAAAAGGAAACTAGAGATATCAATTGTATTTCGTTTCATGGTCATTTCATTTCATCAAGCAGGCTGAACTAGGAATTTTGTTGGTCAAAAAAATGCATCATCAACAAATTCATAAATATAATATCAGGTATTTACAGTAATTGCAACAATCAATAATAAACAACCTTAAACAGCTAATCTAACACTTCACTCAAAAGTCAGTCGATAAATCACACCTACAGACTACTATTTACAAAGATAAAAGGATCACCGACTATCCTACTCATTCTCACGACGAAGGAAAAGTCAAATTTCTGGAAGATCTTTGGTCGTTTCCAACTGCCTCCTTAGCCTCTGGCACCACATATCGAGCTCTCACTTGACTAGCCTGCAACTGGTTATCTTTCCGATCCCAACCATGTTCCTCATGGTGATGATCGTGATGATCTGGAGATGGGAACCACTCCTGGATGATAACAGGCCGCCATATCAGTTTCCAGTCCGGAAGCCAAATCTCCTTCCAGTCTGGTATCCAAATTTGCTTCCAAGCCTCCTTCCATTCCAGCTTCTTGTCAGGAAGCCAGATCTGTTTCTTCTCGGTACGCCAGACTTGCTTCCAAGCTTGCTTCCACTCCAACTTCTTGTCCGTCACCCAGATTTGCTTCTTCTCAGTACGCCACACTTGCTTCCAAGCCTCCTTCCAAGCCAGCTTCTTATCAGCCACCCAGATCTGCTTCTTTTCTGTCCGCCATATCTGTTTGTAAGCCTCCTTCCATTCTAGCTTCTTGTCCGCCACCCAAACTTGCTTCTTCGCTGGCTTCCAGTACTGCTTCCAGATCGGCTTCCACACGAGTTTCTTCTTCCAGAGGTCGTGCGCGGTTATTTCAGCGCCATCGTGGTCTTTGCCCAAGTAGTGGTCGCCATGGATGGCTTCTTTCACCCACACGGGTATCCAGTGTTGCTTCCAAGCGGGTACCTGTATCTCTTTCCACGCAGGCACCTGGATTTCCTTCCAAACGGGCTTCCAGATTTTCTTCCAGTCGGGTACCTGGATCTCCTTCCAAGCTGGTACTTTTATGTGTTTCCAAACTGGCTTCCAGATTTTCTTCCAGTCGGGCACCTGTATTTCCTTCCAAGCTGGCACTTTGATGGGTTTCCACACTGGCTTCCATATCGTCTTCCAGTCGGGGACCTGGATCTCCTTCCAGCCAGGCTTCTTGGTAGGCACCCAGATCGGTTTCCAGTATTTCTTCCAGCTGGGCTTCCAGATTTGCTTTTTCCCTTTCTTCCAGACTTTTTTCCAGCCCTTCTTCCACGTCACCTTCTTCTTCCAGTATCCAGGATCGTGGTGGTGATCGTGGTGAACATCGTGGTGGTCATCATGGTGAATATCATGGTGGATATCATGGTGGTCATCATGGTGGATATCATGGTGGATATCATGGTGGTCATCATGGTGGATATCATGGTGAATATCGTGGTGGCCATCGTACTGGATGTCCTGCTGGATATCCTGCTGGTAGCCTTGATATCCTGCGTTGACGTTGAATTGATCCCCATCGTAGACGTGTTGGATGTCAACTGGACCTGCTCCACTTGTGTGAGGAGTGTAGTCGTATCCATCTCTTCTTTGCGCATATCTGGAAATATGAATCAGATAGTTGATAAGTGTGTCCTTGAGGTATTCCCTAAGTAATTTCAGGTAAATGTCCATGTTTACTCTAGGTGGAGTCAATAATTCGAAGCAATGATATGAAAATGTTGTCTCCACAACTGTTTTTAGGTGATTACTGAAATAAACTATTCTGGGATATGTTTCGGATACTCAGCTTCATCATCAGTCAAACAAAATAGTGGTTGTGGCTACGAAAAAAAGCACCCAATTTGATTGAACGAGTTGCGTTATAGTACTAGTAGTATGTATCTGGAAGGTGATAATGAAAACTTGGGTTTCTGTAAGAGTTTCTCTACCTACGTGGGAAAATCTTTTTCGTTTTGAATGAAGAGTAAAGCTTATCTAAGCGATGAATTTCTGAGATCCCTGAGAAATAAGGCTTCGAATATATGAATCAAAAAGGCTGTGAAATACAAGGTATCATTGATGATACTGTAAGTACTATCTATTGAAAATGAAAATGTGGATTGATGAATGAAAATTCAAATTACAAAAAGTATCAGATAAATTACAATAGGACAGCAGGTATTATATTTGAATCTTAGCAAATGTCAACGATCTCATTTATTCAATTTGAAAAGAACAAAATACTCACTTATTATTATTCTGTGAAACTGTAGGACTAGATGGTGTCTCGATTGCTTTCGTGTTTATTTGCTTTATGTGGAATATTACCCAAAGAGTAACCTGAAACGAATAAATATACAGTTTTGAATCAACAATTTTCTTGTATTTTGTAAAAGCAATCAATCTGTTGACACAAAATATGCTTGAGGAAGAGAATTCACCTATTTCTCAGTGTGAGAAGTTTATTATAATTATCATTTGATGATAGTGATTTCCATACCTTCCATTCCCAAATCTCACTCCTTGTATCTCAAAAACGAAGCAAGTTAAGACATATGTTTTATAGGAAACAAAACATTTTCTCTTTCTAAGAGTATCAACATGATACATTGTATAAACATACCTGGAGAACATGCCTAGAGTATTCGAACAATACATACATCATACCTGAATAATCATCCATAGAATATAATAATGGAATATCCTATGAACGTTACTAGGATATTCGGATGAAATGTTCCATGTATATCCTCGTGTAACATTCTATGAACATTCAGAATATCCCCATCATATTCTATGAATATTCTTTGGAATATTCTGAAGGAGGTATGTTGTGAACGTTGTGAGAACAAATCATAGAAATCATCCATTTTTCTCAAAGTGGTCCAATTGATTTTAAAGAAAAAGCAATGAAAATCCGAAAGTCTGTCGCAAAAATACACAAAATAATTTAATAAGCGACGTGTGTTACTAGTTTCGGCCACAGGCCATCATCAGACACAAAATTGATGTAGTATATGAGTACCTAAAATATAATAATAGACAATGTTATGGGGTAAAAAGAGTCATACAATCATATACTAACCTTATAACATATTGAGAAAAAATTACAATTGAAAAGCTAAGTCAAAAAAATTCAGTTAACAGTCCAGCATATTCAAGTGGTTTTTAAATCTGGAGAATGTCCAGTAAAACCAAATTAAAATTGGGTTATTGGCGAAGTACATCAGAAAAAATTATTATTCAAAAATTCTCTCACGTGAGAGTCATCAAGAAATGCGAAAAGCAAATGGAAGCTAAGATAGAATTCAAGGGACCAGAAACATCATAAATCACAAGGAAATACAAAGTCAAGGAATAAGTGACACATGTCAGAGTCAACCAGAACTGACATGAAACTAATAACTGAGGTGGTGACACAGAATATGACACCGACAAGTGACGTCAATATGATAAATTAATTAGCAATAACCGAAACAAAATCAAAATTTGAAACAATGAGAACAAGAGATTGGGAGAAGAATAACAGTAGATCAATATGGGTTATGTTGATCATTGAAATTTCATAGTACGAAAAATGAGGTTACGTTCAAAATTGGTTTGATCATTAAGACATGTGAATACATTTTTGAATTTCTAGCATTGTTGTGAGAACATTCATAGAAGGTTCTGTGCTGTCTGGGTTCCAAATCGTAATCGATAATTTCAATATCAGAGGTAAATAACTTTTACTTTTCGTTATAACATACGGAAGTTTGAATAAGTCATTCGAAAAATGTTATAATAATATCATGTTAGTTTCGAAAACGGTTGAAAGAATCTAGAGAAAACAAACTTATCATTCAAACGCGAATATTATACTAATTGGAGATATAAATACATGACGGTTTATACTAATAGACAAACTATCACTAAAAATCGCATGCACCGTGTGTGTTTAATGATACAATAAATATTCGTCGAAGGCACTAACAAGTTCATTGACAAAACTTTCTCTCCTCTACTGGTTGATTGAAGAGAGACCTCGTGACATAAACATAAATGCTTAGGTAACCATCAATGGCGTAGAGGTCCACGATATTTCATATTTCGGAAAACTGTATCACTTCATCTCAAATATACAGGGTGACATAGAAAAATGTACAGGGTGGCCAACTAAGACTCCAGAGTTCGATTTCTCTGTTGTCTTGAGAGATCAAAAAAAAATTCATGGATCAAAATTGAAGTAATAACCGAGCTTCACATTTCAAAATTTTTTTGAAATACACAGGGTGTTCCGTAAGGTCACAGCACATCAAAGCTATGTTTTTTTCATTGGAGCACCCTATATTTTATTTCATTTTTGAATTCTCTCTGAAAATATGATTTCAAAGACCCATCATACTTAGGGTCTAGCAGTGAAAGTTACTGACATATAGGGTGTGCAAAATCGAGATTTTCCAAGTTCGGGATTTTTTTCTGTCGAAACTGTTCATTATTCGTCAAAACGGTTTACATGTCCCTATCTCAACTTTTCACTCACTATCAATTGATGTTCAATTGAAATTGATACAAGGTGGTCAAAAAATCTAAATTTATAATTTGTTTCAATTAAATGTCAATTGAACACCAATTGATAGTGAGTGAAAAGTTGAGATAGGGACATGTAAACCGTTTTGACGAATAATGAACAGTTTCGACAGAAAAAAATCCTGAACTTGCAAAATCTCGATTTTGCACACCCTATATGTCAGTAACTTTCACTGCTAGACCCTAAGTATGATACGTCGTTGAAATCAGATCTTCAGAGAGAATTCAAAAATGTAATGAAATATAGGGTGTTCCAATTAAAAAAACATAGCTTTGATGCGCTGTGACCTTACGGAACACCCTGTGTATTTCAAAGAAATTTTGAAATCTGAAGCTCAGTTATCACTTTAATTTAAATAAGAAACTTTTTTTTGTATCTCTCAAGACAACAGAGGTATCGAACTCTGGATTCTTAGCTGTACATTGCATAGTGTCACACAATAGAAGACACTAAAATAAGAAAAAAGTTCTCATGAACACGGGTCCGCAAGGCCTTTGGTTAAAAGATATATGGGGTGTTGAATTTCAATTTTTTTGTGGGTTTTTTGAATATCTTAGTCAGACACGCAAGAAATTGATAACATGTGGTATACAGGAGTTTTTCAATGTAATTGTTGTAGTATTTATCATTGTTTTTGCAAATGAATAAAAAAAATTACATTCAACTCTTTGTGTTCATTGGGAACTTTTTATCTCATTATGCAATGTTCTTTTTTCCATGTTACCCTGTATAGGGTGCGCCTCTTAAAATGGAACTCTCCCTTAACTCTTTTGTTTTCAGAGATGTGAAAAAATGTTGAACTAAAAAGTTGTTTGAAACGATCCAAACTTTTATCTCGTGAAGTTGCTTTATATACAGTCATTCGTTTTTCTGGAAAGGACATTAATTTTGATTTTTTCAATGGTACACCCTATATATTTTCTGACATGTCGATGGACCCTTTTTTTTTCTGATTTTAAAAATATATATGAATTGCATATTTGGGTGAGAAATAATTGGGTCATTGACTATCAAAGTTTACCAAATCACCGAATCTTCCATTAAACCTGTCTATTCATATTGTTTTGTATTGAGATTGAACGATTTCAATTCCATAATAAATAGTACTATGACATTTTCATGGAGCTTGAACAATACAGGTTGTCCGCTAAAAGGAGGTCAATCCATTAACCATATATTCCTTGAACAAAAACAATATCAGTTTCCAGATACCATTTTTCATTTTAGCACTTCATATTCGATATACAGGGTGTCAAAGTTGGAAATTAAAAACTGTTTTTTTTTAATTACATTGGTACATTACTTCAGCACAAAGAGTTACATCGTGAGAGAAAAACAAAACAGAAAATAACTGTCAAATATTCGAAATACTGGGGGTCAAGTACACACATACCCCCATATTTTTTTTGTACGTGCGCTAATGATTTCCTATCTATTTTTCTTAAAATGTTCAATAATTTTTGAGTATTTTTTGTCTCTTGTAAAATTTCGATAAAATTATTTGTTTTTAAGATAATTCGAAAAGTACTGGTTATTGTTTGATGCCTATGCGGCTAACGGTAATCTCATAATGTTCACATACTCCTATTTATTTCGTCGAAATTGGAAGAGGGCGTAACTTTTTACGTACGAAAAGGTAAATATGGAAATACCGGGTGCTCAGAGCGAATGTATTGAAATAATTAAAAAAAAATGATAGAAATTGAACACGTTTAATTTAATTTCCAACTTTGACACCCTGTATATCGAATATGAAGGGCTAAAATGAAAAATGGTATTTAGAAACTCATATTGTTTTTGTTCAAGGAATATATGGTTGATGGATTGACCTCCTTTTAGCGGACACCCTATAAACGTTATTTCAAACCCCACTATATTCAACTTACATTAAATGATATGAAGGGAAGGTTCACAATGCGGTATATTTTGGTAAATTTTGATCATCAATTACTCAACTATTTTCCATCCAATCACAAAAAAGGCTCTATCGACATGTCGTAAATTATATAGGGTGTTCAATTGAAAAAATCAAAGCTTGAAGGTTTTCGATGGATCACCCTGTATAGACACTTGCTGTCTCAGAATAATTAATTTTTCAAAAGTGACCTCTTATTTTTAAACACCCTGTACATTGAATATTGTTATATTTTCTATAGTTGATATGAGGATATACACCTCCGGGTGGGTCAGCATTATATTGCCATTCAGAATCTGAGGCAATTATTTTCAGATATATTTTATATTCCATTATTTATTCTTATTACTTGGTGATGAAATATGTTTCTTGATGAATTATTAACTTAATTAAATGTTAATATGGAGCGCATTTGAATATGTGATAGATAATTATGAAGCAAAAATCATTTGTAGATCGGTTCTTGTCAAACTTTCTAAATATTTTCCAAAGCACGTTTCGGTTCTGAGTGTATTAAGAACTTGGTATAGGTATGGTAGCAAACTTCCACAGTGGAAAAAACAGTTTCCCTTTTAACATGTGTCGATATATAACTTTCTTCTTATTAGCACTGCATTTTTTCTACATTATTCATTCATCTATCAGTTTGCACTTCACATCAACATTCCATATTTGATTTACTTGATTTACAGGTAGATTCTCATTCTACAATGAAGTGGAACACCTGAATTATCACTTATAATCCTCCTTCCTAGGGCATGAATTATTGCCGGAAATTTTTTGAATACATGAATTTTTTGAGAATAATCACGAACCGTGTCATAACGGCATCCGTGTTGAAAGAACGATTTTTTT